TGTTTCTTCACATCATAGTGAGAGCATCAGAATCAAAGTGGAAGGTAAAAACCATCTCATTTATTTTTTTACATCTTTTACACATCTAAACACACAGGTCCGATTTAAAAACAAGTGGAAGATATTGTCAGTATGGAAATATTTTTCATATTTTTAACTGGAAGACAATATTTGCAGTGTTTTAGGGAGAAATATCAGATTAAAGCAATCAACAAATACTAAAAAAGGCTGAATTACCATAAAGACAATTTTGCAGTGTGGATTTCATTTTTAAAGATTATGTAGTATCAAGATATTCCAGATGCAATAGAAATAATAATGTGTCTTCTATTAGTATTAAGCAAACAATATTGTATTGTAGTTTCAAGTGATTTATCACTTGAAATATAACAGATTATGGATTTTGTGTATCTTTAATTTATTTAAAATATTGGTTTTATCATTTATTTAACATTTTGATTCCTGCAAGAATAATGAGCAGTTTTGACTGTTCTGCAGGACTGAAAACGAGTGACGTTTCTACAAATACACGTGAGTAAAAGCATGAAGCAAAGCTCTCTATAGATTGTAATAACATTTTTAAAAGTAAAGCCTTAGTGTGAATGTACATTTGTACTTTCTATTTGAAAGTACATAAAATATTATGTGTAAAGACCAAAGTCATATAGATTCCATTTTTTTTTCAATTATAAATATTCACTCACTTTATGCACAATTCAAATAACATTCTGCAAAGTTTTTTTCTGTTTTAACATTCTAATAATAATAATTAACTACAGTAATGCAACACTCACTGGGCTATCTAAATCCACACTGAATAAACTACAGTACATCCAGAATTTGGCAGCCAGAATCCTGACCAGGTCTATTGCGAGCAGTCACATTACTCCTGTCCTGGAGTCATTGTACTGGCTAACTGTTAGGTTTCGTGTCAACTTTAAAATCCTAATGCTCACCTACAAGGCTCAGCAGGGCTTGGCACCTCATTAACTAAGTTGATACCATCCTACTCTGTTCGACCGTCTTGTTCTGGCCTTCTTTCTGTCCTCCAAACCCGTCTACATGCTCTGGGTGACAGGGCCTCTCCTGCTACGCTCCAAAGCTCTGGAGGTCTAATACTAACGATATCAGAGAGTCGCCATCCCTGAGCCCTTTCAAATCTAGACTCAAAAAAACTTTTTTTAGCTTTTATTTAACAGGTTGTGCATGCACTCTTTTTTCCTACTGTACTCTATAACCCCATCTATATCCTATCCTCTCAATGTGTATTTGTTTGTTGTTCTTTGAAGCACTTTGAGAAGCCAGTTTTAAAGACACTATATTACTTTTATTTATAATGAACAATTTATTGTACTATCTTACAGATGTTGTTCTTTTGTTCCAGCTGTTACAGATTCAAGGATCTCCACATCTGGATCAAGTAAGTGTCAGTATGATGTTGAAGTTCTCCCTAGTCTGTCCCTTACATAAAGCTTGTTTAAGTGTTAACTGTTTAATTACAATTCATTCAGGCACCAGTGTGCTTTCCATAGATCCATTGCTAATCAGGTCATATATGAGAACCCATATAATGTATAATGAAATTCCCATATGATATTAAGTGTCTAAAATAAAGCAAATAAAAATTTTCCAAATATTCCAGTTCCTGCCTGTATTTAGAAAGTTCACTTATATGTGATGTAGCTAAGAAAAATAATATATCAGAATTAACTCGTGTAGCTAGTCATCCACTCACTTGTAAATCCAAACTGCAGCTTTGTTGTGGTGATAAAGAGGTTTATGACAATTCATCCCTTAAATTTTATTTTAATAAATATTGGATTTTTCTTTTCTCAAGCTGTTACAACATCAAATTCTGTCACAACTGGAATTGGTGAGTATCTCCAGTATCTTAAAGCTGCACTAAGCTTTTACATTTCCCATGATAGCTATTTTGTCCACTGTTGTTAACAATACCAAAAAACAGAAAAGTGATATAATAACAACATACAGTATATGATGCCCTTTCACAGTTTGCTGTCAAATACTAAGCTGTAACACCCTATATTGACTGCTCATTTTACTTTCTTCAGGTCAGCATCTCAAATTCATTTTGCCAGTTGCTGTTGTGCTGTTTTTACTGATGTCAGCAGCAATTCTGGGCTTCCACACCCTGAAACACAGTGAGTTAGACTGTTGTTACATCAACAGCAGTTCAGAATATAGCAAATGTTGTTCTAGCATCAAACACTACTGTATGTACTATATATTCACATCTGTATTAAGGAACATGCAAGCAATTGTTGAAACTTTGTCTCTGAACAAACAAGTTCCTCCATATTTTGGTTTTCATTCCATCTGTTCACCAACAAGCATCAGCATACTTTAGTTATTCACTGCCAGTACCAACACCACTTCTGTCTCAGGCTTACCAAAAGCTTAATATAACACCCTTACTTCAAATTAGTCCTAATTAGTTACAAGTTCCGCATAGATGTTATGTGAAATCATGAACAGACAACACTTGCTATGCGTTTCCTGCTGACAGGCAAAGAATATGCAGCTTAACCTTAAGGAGATAAATTGTTAAAAGCATTAATTCTAGATTCTTCAGTAGATTGCACATATTGAAAAAAAGGATGTCCTTGTTTGAGATTAATTTACCCAATCATAATTTTATTTTTCAGAGAGAAACAAACCCGACAGTAAAAGGT